ACGTGCTGCCTGAGCCCGTCGCGAGACACTACTGGTCCGAGAGCGGTCTCCTGTGCTTTGTCTCTGTCTCGCGCTCGTAATTGTACTTCATACGATTGTACAGAGAGCAGACAGGAAGCGACCAGTCTCGGTCTCGTAACTCTGTCGCCTGCCTCGGTCGCTTGTCTCTGTCGCGTGCAGTCAAATTGTACCTTAAGACACACAAGGCCACTCTGACTGCAGTGAGGACCAACCAACCAAAAAGCCAACTAAGGGCGGAGTCCTGCGCAAACGCAAGGCATCGCTGGAAATGGTAAACAGGGCCTTATATCTAAAACGGGAATTTTGCTAACGCTAACGGGGGTTCTGTCGTGGCGGGAGCCTCGACCTTTTAAACTAGGGTCTGTCGCTGCTGACGGGAGGTTACGAACTGAGGATTTCGTGCCTTGTGTTTATATTTGCTAGGAGGACACGAACCAAGTAACTTCTTGTCTTTATATTTTCCTCGTGGTTACAGACTCTGACATCTAAAAGTCTCTGAAGGATCGATTGAAGTTTTCTTCATTTGCCTGCACAAGTTAAAATCTAAGTTTTACTCTTGTACCTATTTTCGTGTTTTTTTATGAAGATAATTTTCATCTACTAAACCACGGTGGTCCAGCGGTTAGAACGCTGGCCTTGTAATCCTGGGGTCTCGGGTTCGAATTTATAACTTGTGTTGGGCAAGGCCGTGGTCTAGGCAACACGGAGTTTTCCTCCGTGGCATCCCAACAATTACTCCATTCACACACAGAAGAAGGCAATGGCAAACCACTTCTGGATCATCTGCCAAGAACGTATACGAACAGGTCCCAGTCCGAGAAGAGAAAAGGATGGAAGGATCCTGTTCATATGGACCTGTCGTCAGACAGAACACTAAATAAATAAAATACCTTCTGGAAGCTAGTGGTCAGGCTCTGGGCAGTCTTTTGCAGCAGAGAGCATAATAAGTACCAAGTGAGACCCATGGTGTCACGTAGTAATGCCTGGTACCAATACGTGAGTAGTACCAAGTAGTTGTCCAAATTATTCTCCAGCACCTGATACATGGTTTCACGCCCACATGTTACCATTACCAAGACAACGGTAAGCACAACGGCCCGTCTCCTGAAGTTCACCTCCAGAGAGCGCCCCGTCACGACGCGATAGTGAGACTGAAACACATAAGTACGTACTTTTGACCTCCGTTTAAAGTAAATACGAAGGCTTTTCTGCTTAATACTCATTTATCCGCGCCCTGACCACACAGCGCATTATCAAACCCTCGGTATTAAGTTAGGGGCTTTATATCTGAGTAAAGGTCGATTAATTTTACAAACGTTTTGATGTCAGGGATCGGGACACAAAATTGAAGAGAAATATTTTTACCAGGCCTCGCCTCCACATCGAAAAATATTTAAAATAAACCGTAAATATACGGGGTGCGATCGGAAAGTTTCCAGACTGTGTCAATAGCTGGCGAACCGGATGTAGTACGAGCTTCTGCCTTTAGGGGTGCGGCCTACATTTATAGTGAATCAGTGTGCCAGCCGGCATCATCGAATTAGCATTTGTTTCTTAGTTACGGGCGTTTTGGTAGTGCATTACACCGACCCTCCTGCGATTTCGGAATGGCGGATTTTCATGAACAAATCAAAGTTTGCCAAAGACTCGCCAAAACGGCTAAGGAAACCTATGAAATGCTAAAGCAAACATTTGGGGAGTCCGCAAACTTTTGTGTGGCATTCACGTTTTAAAAATGGCCGAACCTCTGGCG